CGTTCTGGGCTAGAATCTCCTCTCACTCCATTTAGCTCCTCATCAAAGCTAATGCTTCCCCATGTAGCCCTGCACAGCCTGGTGTACCCCTTTTTTGGGGAAACACAAGTGATAAAAACTTTCACTGCCATACACCTCCCCTGTGGCCTCTCATAGCCATGTCTGTAAATTAAAACCCCACGTATATGAATGGGACATGCTATTGCACATCAAAACTCTCTGTTTTCTCCCCAGTCTTTCAACAGACTCACTGAGATATAACTCACAAACCACAGAACTGAAAGTATTCAATTCATCTGGGCACAATAGCTTGTGACAGGCTGGTAAAATAGACTATCTCAAAACTATAATGAAGTGCATGATTCTAAAAGCCTTAGTATATTCACAAGGCTGCACAACCATTACCTCATTTTTTTAGAAGAGAGTACAAATTTGAATTAAAACAGAAAAATTGCAAGTGATACAGAAGTTCACTCAACAAAGTAATGTGAATTTCACAGTATTTGTAACACGTAGTGTTGTCTTCCAACCAGTTGTTCATATTACCAGATATATGCATATAAAACTGGAAGAAGAAATAAAAAAGAAAGATATATATAAGAAATTAAAAAGAAAAAAAGTACAAATAATAGGAAAAAAGAGACAAAACAAATTATCTGCTTATCTAGGTATGCAAGCAGGATGGTTTGGACAACTGTGTTGTGTATTTCTGCTGGTCTATTTCATTTCTCAAAAAACTTTTGTTTTCCTAAAAAGAAAGCCTTTATCCATTAGCATTCACTAACTGCATCCCACCACCACCCATCCAGCCCTAGTCAACCATCACTTTACTTTCTAGCTCTAATATTTTCTTATTCTAAACATTTCATATACATCAAATCATGTCATATGTGCTTTCCTGTGACTGACTTCTTCTATTTACCATGAGAAAATCTCGAAAGTCTGTCCATGCATTACATGTATCAGAAATGGATCCTTTCTTATGGCCCAGAATATTCCACTATATGGCTATTCCACTTTTTATTTATCCATTCATCAGTTAATAGATGGATGAACTATTTCATTTTTTATTTTCATAAAAATACTACCATGACCATCCATGTACAAGTTCTCCTGTGGACATGTATTTTCAGGCTCCTTGAGTATACACCTTGA